TCCAAATCGTTCTAAAAATAATGATATTCCAATTTCTCGAAACCCTAGGGTTTGTGAACTTATCGAATTGTATTTTTATAGTAAAAATATAGTTGATAATTTAGTAACAAGAGTTTTAATGAATTATACATTTTGTTATATATATTGTTATTTCAACAATGTTATTTAATTGATGTTTTACAAATGTTTTTCAAAAACTATTATTTAATTATAAAATGAATTAAATGATATATTAATATAAACTAAAAATAAATAATAACTTAATGATATATAAATACTATAATAAAAATTGTTATTGTTTTCGAAAATGTTATTATGATGACTTTACACCACAAAAAGCAAAAAGAACTAATAAACATACTATTTATGTTGTATTTAGTTCTACTACTTACACTCTGTGTGTACTCTCAACCGCCTCAAAAGCCCAAACCAACTCCCAAACAACCCGCAGCTGAACAACCAGCGGCTCAAGCTGGTCCTCAAAATGTTCATCCACACACAGCGCAGCGCGAAGCGAGTAAAGTGAAGTCGAGCACCAATTTTGCTTTAAGAGAAGTTCGATTCTTCCACACACATTTCAAAGAAGAGATGTTTGTAGCACAAAGGGAGATTGACGCAGCTAATAAGAAACGTGATGAAGGACTCCAACGTGTCATAAGTGTCGTTGGGGATGTCGTTACAGGTAAACAGAAAGAAATGAATAACTTGCCACTTACCGCACCGAAATCGTCACAACCACAACTGAAACCAATCATCGAAGCTTTCACTAAAAACGTTCAAATTGAGAAGCAACAACGTATTAAAGCACTTGAAACTAAAATGAATGCAATCAAACAGAAAGTTGGTACTTTAGAAGCTCAACTGAAGAAGATAGGTGACGAGGAACAAAAATCATTTGACTTAGCTGTGAAAACTATTTCTGAAATGGGTTCGTCAGCTAGAACTTCATTGAAAGAAGGCGAACAGACGCCACTTCATAAGGTCGATATGAAAAGTGTCAACGATCAAACGTCACAAGCGGAGGGAGAAATCAAATTGACATATCGAGAGGAACAACATAAGTCTCGTAAACAAGCAAAAAAGATTAAACGCGAAGCTAAAGTTTTGAAAGCTCTTGCAATCACTGATTTTACTCAATTTAAAACAGACTTGTCTAATAAAATACGTTCAATGTTCGTCGATTCAAAGGCAAAAGCAAATAAAATGATCACAGACGCTCTCGAAAAGGCACAGGCGGAAAAGGATGCAAAGGCAGAAAAAGAGGAAAAGGCCGCCCAGAAGGCTGCTACAGTACAGACTAGACCCGCTTCCCCAACTACTCAACCACAACAAGTAACAAAGCCACAATCACCTAAGAAATTCTAAGCTTTTAAATTGTTGCTGTTGGATATTTTGGTTCTATTCTATTGATAATAATATATTATTATTAATAGTATTCTAATATAGTTCTATATAATATAATACTTTTAATATTATATTAAATACAATTTGCAATAACAAATTTATAATAATATTAATTAATATAAATTAGTGACGTATTTAATATTTTTATAATATATAATTGAATGATTGGTCCTGGTTTTTTGTTTATGTTGTTAAATTTGTTTTAAACTATATTTTATATTATATTAGTATAATAAATAATATTATCTTAATAGTAATTATTTATTTTTTAAAAAAGAAATGAGACTGGATGATTCGGGAATTTGATCTTGGTGTTATTCTTTTTGTCAATTTCTGTAAACAATTATATGAAACGAATCACCAAACTAAGTCTTTTGGTCTTCTTAATACAGTATTACAATAACTAATAATTGATGGTAAATATATAATTATGATATAGTATATTTTTTCAATTAAGCGATTATAACTCAAAAAAGATTGTGTGAAACCACAGAGTCTTATACGACTTTCTAAGTCATTCACTTTTTTGCTTCCATTTTTGGAAAGAAATCTGACAACTATACAATATGGTAACTAAAATTATAACAAATAGGAAATGTTCAGATCTTTTTGGAGTGGAGTCTAACCAAAAAAGCCTTAATAGAGCCGAAACTGCAAAGTTTAAATAATGAAGAAGACACAACGAGAAAGGATAGTCGATGAGATATACACGACCGAACAGAGTTATGTGAGTTCTATGGACCGTTGTGTTGAATTTTATAAGAAGCGGTTAGAGCAGAGTCCATCATTAATAAGTCGAGAAGATGTTGGGATCATTTTTGAACACTTTGAAGAGATTTTAGCGATCAACAAACAGTTTGCACGTATTCTTGAAGACTCATTTAAGAAGGGAGAACTTCCATATAAAGTGGGAGAGATCTTCAAAAAATTCATTCCCTTTTTTAAGTCGTATTTTCTGTATATTTCTCATTACGAGACGTCAAATAAAACGTTAGCAGAGTACGAGAAACGAGATAAGTTCTACCAAACACTCGAAGAGATTTCATTGTTTCCAAATACACTGGATTTGAGAAGCTACTTGATCATGCCAGTCCAACGCCTTCCTCGGTATCGCCTTCTCTTATCTGACCTCTTAAAACACACAGAAAACACATTTGTGGACTACACGAATATATCCGACGCTGTTGAAATGATCAAGACCGTCACAATGGATGTGAACGAACGCGCAAAAGAGATTGACATGCGCGCGAAGGTGTTTAAAGCTTCGAAGAGTATTCTTGGCCTTCGCGATTTGGATTTGAATGACGAGCCGCGTGAGTTAGTGAAGGAGGGCGACTTAATTAAAGTGTGTCGGAATGGGAATAAGCCGAGGTACTTCTATCTCTTCAATGATGTATTGATCTATGGTATTGGTACTATCAAAATAGTTGTGAGTGGGTGGATATACACGCGACATATAACATTAGAAGAAGATATTCGGTTCCAACATGCATTTTGTATTAAAAATGATGTGAAGAGTTTTACTGTGATATGTGTTGATGATGGAGAGAAGCAGAGTTGGTTAACGACACTTCAAAGAGTGTCGGACGCCTCTCGTAAGAAGTTTGGAGGTGACAAATTTATCACAAAAACTGATATGACGAAGACCTCTGCCAAATACTGTCCACTGTGTCATTCCCTCTTCTCGTTGACTAATAGAAAACATCGCTGTGAGAAGTGTTACAAATGGGTCTGTGGAAATTGTTCCAAAGGAAAGATCCCGATGCCTCCTAAGAATGAACTTGAAAGAGTCTGCGACGTGTGTTTCTCGCTTATCACAGGAAATTCAATGAAAGAAGAACCCAAACCCGTCTCGAGAAGTCAATCGGCGACGTGTGACGACCCACTCAATTTCTTAGACTTCGATCAGAAAGGGGAGAGTAATCCATGTACACGAAAGAGGCGATATTCGCAGTATAAAAAAGATGGGTTTCTGTCGGAGTTAGGGATGAAAGACGTGAAAAAAGGGAAGGAAGAGAATCTGCAAACTTTACTTGATACGACACCACGAGACAAAATCACTGAAAAGAATCAACAAACCCTTTTCTTCGATTTTGTGACGAGCGAACAAAAAGAAACAGACAAAATTACTGAGGAATATTTAACAGTCAAAGCACTCGATAAAAACAAAACAAATGAAACACTTCCACAACTCGATAAAATCATTTTTTTAACTCCTTCTAATAAATCAAACACTTCTAATACTACAATTCAAAGAACTTCTTTACCTTCAAAACAACTCTCTAAACCCCCTTCAAAAACTATTGATTCACAAGCTTCGAAGACTTCTAAAACTCAACAACAACATTCCCCGCGACTGGATACTCCTATTGCTCTAAAACAAAATATTCACTTCGAGACAAGCTCAACACTCTTTGACACAAAACAATCACATCTACAACGACAATCACTCCCCCTCGGAAGATCACAAGAATTTGCTCAACAAATTAATGGCGGGTTTGTCCCACAAAAGAACAATCTTCCAATCCCTATGAAGATCTCACAGAGGAGTCAAGACAACGACACAGTTCTATTTGATGGTCTCAAATTTTTGATGAACGACTTCATTTCAAAATCGCCAAGTTCGAAGGAAAAGGGGAGTTCGGTCACACCCACCTTGTAGTTCTATTATTAGATATTGATTCCATTGAAATTAACTATTTATTGCTCTTTATTTGATAATGCCTTATTCTATCTCTTTATAGTTTCAAAGCTATTTATAACAATTTAAATGGATTACTCTCTGTCTCTTTACTATAAATCTCCAACGTCTTGAACACTACACTTTCAATCATTGCGTCTTGCATTCCAGGGTATAAAGTCACCTTCTTCATTTATCGAATAATCTGCATTTATTGGTTTATTAACTATGCGACAAGGTACTGGGTGGCTAGTATCAAGTTTTAATACAGTCTCAACATTATTGTTGGTAACTTGCGTTGGTTGAGCCAGTTTTTTCTTCAAATTTGCGAAAATGACTGAATGTAACATCATTTTGGGGTTCTTCACTTCAATCGTGTTTTGTTTTTCATCTTCAGAGCTTTCAATTGGTGATATATTTTCCTCATCATCTGATTTTAAATGATGAAGTTGTGAATCAGAAGTTTTCATATTCAAAGAGTAATTTGTTTGGAAATTGGGTGGTAATACACTTTGAGTGTTTTGAATAAGAGACTGTTGTTGAACACCAGTACATGTGGTTATAGTTTGTACAAAACTGGAATTCATGAATGTTGCCTCTTCTTTTGGGGGGTCAACTTTTGGTTTGAATGGAATAACCCCACTTTGTGTCGGCTCTTTATTATTATATTCATCCATTAATACTGTAGGAGATGGTTTATTCATTGGGTGTGGATTAATTAACGACTTTTGGTGAAGTGGAGTAAGAAAACCATCTGTTTGGGTTGGTACTGTTTGTTGTATTATTTCTACCGGTTGTTGAATATTTGGTTGTAAAGTTGCTTGTTGAATTGGTAATGGAGTTTGTAGTGTAAATGAAGTACAATTGGTTTCGTTTTGTGGTAAAATGTGTTGTGGTGTAGTTGGCATTTGTATCATCTGATGTGACATTTGTGATTGACGAAAAGGCATATCTTTTAATTCGTTTTGTGGGGAGATTTGTTGTTGTACTTGATGCATTTGAGGAGTCGACAATTGGAAATTATTTGGTAAAGTCTGTTGTATAGTATTTGATTTTAATTGAGGTGATACCAAATGTGTTTCATTGTTTAATTTTTGTTCTTGTGGGTGAATAATTTGTTGTGAACTTTTCTTTATTATTTGAAAATTTAGTGGGAAAATAATTTTATCATCATGTAGTATTTGTTGTGATAATTGTGTTAATGATTGTTGTACATTCTGTACAACGCTTGGAGAAGTTTGTTTAATAGGAATTTGTTTTGTTAAAGTAATTTCTTTAAATTCACAAGAAATAGGAAGTAGGCGTGTAATAATTTGTGGGTGTGTCGCCTCCTTTGCCTTTTCAAGTAACATGATATCTTCACATTTCTTGACGACTTCATTTCCATTAGCATAACATTTTTTAGTTGTTTCTTTCTTTGATTCTTTTATTTTCGTTGTGTCAAAACTCAAGTTACAAATATCTTTCTTTTGTTGTCTCACTTTCGCCACCGGTTTTTCAATATGAGATATCTTAGTTTCTTCATTGAGTTGTGTGGTTGCAGAATTCAAAGATTTTGACGTATTCTTTGTATTCAAAGTTACATTAGTACATTGTTTTTGTTCTTTATGTGACATCCCAAACTCCTAGTCGACTTTCCAAGTTGGGAAGAGTGATACTGGTCGTCTAGTAGATTCTCTGAAATTGTTTTCCTTCTTCATCTCTGTTAACCCCCAAACTTCATCAATTTTCCTTTTAATTTGCATCATTTGAAGTTGTATTGGTATTTGCACACCATTTTTGAATTGAGTGACCTCTTCACCAATACTAAACGATCCATCCACAATTCTTTTTTCTATCCTTTTGTTTGCTTTGTTAACTGGGTTCAAAACTTTCTTTGGTTTCGTATATTCTTTTTGGGTTTTTCCATTACTACAAATTGATAGTCTACCCCCATCATTGTATGGTCTGCTTAAACGTCCGATTGTACGTGTTGTGACTCTTGAAAGGTGCATCAATTTATTCAAACTTGGTTGTGTTGCTTTGAGTGTTTCAGGTTTACTGGATTTGAGACAAGAAGTGATATATTTCCACAATGCTGAGAAGATGTAGTACATGAACTTGCTTTACAAGTTCATTTGATTCTTATCCAAACTCTTTGACTCCGTTTTTTAAATTTCATTAATTTTGTTTTTAAAAAACACGTTTATTTATTGATTAACCAAAAAAAAAACAAATATATAACATTTTAATATAATTAATTACAAAAACAAAATATATATAGTTATTATAATAATTTGATTCAATAATAATCTATTTTTAGTTATTCATTAAATTAAATAAAACATAAAAAGAAACAATATAAAATGTAACATTTTAATTTATATATAGTTAATTTAGAATTATTTTTTTATTTTTTTTATATTTCAGCAAACAAAAAAAGTATTTTTGACTGGTTTTTCTTCGAAATGTTGTGAAACCAAAAAATAATTTTTATTATCATTTAATTTTTTATTATTTTAATTATTAATTTGTAATAAAAAATAAAAATGATATTACAAATAATTGTAATTGTATTAAAAATATAGTAAAACTATTTTTTATAATATATCGAAAGAACTTTTCAAAAAAGATATTTTATATAAATTCTTAAAAAATACTATTGAATATTTAATAAGTTATGGAAACAAAACCATACTAATAAACTATGAATAGAATTAAAAACAGTGTAAAACAGTCATTCTGATACAACTTCTTTTCTCGATAGAACAATTTTCGAAGAAAGGATTAAAAGATGGAGTGATATCATATGCATCCTTAGCGCATGGATTAATGTTTACTTTTCCATTTTTATCGACCCAGAAAGCCGAGAAACAGGCGAAGAAAGTCTTATTATCATCTGTGAACAAATTGAATGTGTTTTTTCTCCAGTCTTTTCGAGCATAAATTTCGATGTTTTTACTTTCTTTTTTCATAGAGAAAAGAAACATTTCTTCTGATTTTGCTTGGTATGAAGTGTTTTGTTTCATAGGAGGAACTATATCAGACTGGTAAAACCCAATATAATCAAATTCCGTTTGTATCACAAAAACAAGATTCTCTTTGCATGCAATTTTCTGTCTTAATTCTCTTGCATCGAATCCAGAGACATTAGAGTCAAATACACTTTCGATATTCTGAGAGAGAGTCTTTGAAAGAATGAATGCAAAGAGTGGGTTTTTCTCTAACACAACTTCATCAAGACTATTCTCCTCTTCTTTTTTGTTGAAAAAACTCCATTTTGGTGTTGAATTCTTTCTTTTGTGGTCTTTCTTAGCTTTCTTTCCTTTTGAAAAGGATATTCTCTCTTCTGAAGTAGATTTGGATAACCCATTCGACTTTGTAATGGACTCGGGGTCTAATGTCTCTTCAAAGTGCTTTGAAGATTTGGACTTTCTCGGACTTCTAGGTGAGAAGAATGATCCAAGTGGTGAAGATAAGAAGATTTCCGGTGAGTTAGAGAGCGAACCAGAACGCTGTGTTGTTCTGATTTGTGAGCTTTCAGAGAGTCTATTTCCCATTCAGTGATGCATCAAACGGAATTTTGAGTTTAAGTAGGAGTAGAGGGGTATGTTGTTATTAATAAAAAGGACAAAAGCGGCCGTCGCAACTGTTTTGAATTATAATTGAAGACCGCTCTCTTTTTTGAATTCATTTTTCTATAAATGCGTTCAATTGTATTACATAAAGAAGTGGCCAATTTCTTATTAAATTCACGGGAACTATTACTAAAAAGGTGTTAATGATAATCCATTTTCAAAGAAATTTATATTTTAAGTACGTATTGTAATTCTCTGATTTGATGAAGGAATTGCAATACGATTTTTTTGTCTCTTTGTAATGTTTATTTTTACTAGTGCCTTTCTGGCCGCGTTTTAAGCAGTGGATTGCCTAACTACCGCTGACACAGCAGAGTTTTTTATTCTGTGTCATGTAGAGTTTTTTTTTCGATTTTAGTCTTCATTCAATTTGTTTGTAAAACTGGTTCTTGGAAATATCTATTATTAAATAGTTATTTTACAAATTGAAACTAATTAAACTTACTATAATGAACACGAAGGAGTGATCCACAGTTTGTATTAGGATTGTCCAAATTGTAATTATAAACTATAATTTATAACATATTTATTAGTAATTTGTAGTTTATTTGACAAATTTATTTTAAATATGAAATAGTTTAGATTCTCTTCATGTTTTTAAGAGTTTTTTATAAACAAATTCTTTTCCAATAAATTCAAACACTGAATAATCTTTACATAAAAGCAGTTTTATATTTTGCCGTTTTACTCTTTGAAATAAGACTGGATTGTTTTGAAAGGTGAAATGAGATGGTTTACACATAAGCATGTTTAAACCAATTTCAATTACTTTTTATAAATAACAACTTTTTGTTGTTTTTTTGCCATTTTTTACTTGTTCTATTTGTAGATTGACGCTTCAATGATGCCTTCATCACAATAACTAGTTTCATTGGTTAGTTCATGATGAAATTTGGTCCTATTAATAAAAAAAGTAATTGAAATAAAACAAAAAGCTTTTGATTTTGAACAAATTTCACAAAATGTGTTTTGTTAAATTTTCTTTATAAAAATAATTCCGAGAGATGAATTTTGTGAAGTAAAACACCAGATCTAAATTTTATTCAAAATTTTTTTTATTTTTTTTATTTTTTTTTCCAAACAAGAACTCAGTACAAAGATGTTAATTAATTTTATAATTAATTAATAACTAATAATTCAAAAAAAACTTCAAATTGGTTTAATTAATAAATTAACATATTAAACTATTCAAATAAGTGTTATTAAATTAATAAAAGTCAAATGTTTATAATTATTAAAAATTTAACTATAAATAATTAATTTATTAACTACGAAATAAGTTAATTAAATGTTAAAAAAAGTAGGACATAATATAAAATGTTATTTGTATTACAATTTTAGTAAAACGAAATGTCAAATGGAAAAAACATTATGGTAAAGAAGTTTATATTATAGTTTCAAAAAAAATAAATCAAAGTGTTAGTGTAATTAAAGGTATTTAACGCCAGTTGGATAAATTGGGTCAGTTGTAATACCACAAGTGTTACCAGCCATTGCCATCAAAACGTACCCTTTGTCTCCCCATGAGGTTCCCCATGAGTTTTTAACGATCCAATATTCTTCACCATTGAGGGCTCCATATCCGACAGAGGCGACTTCGTGGTTCAAATCCAAAAGACCAGTCTTGCACTTAGTGTCGTGATAAACACCGGTCTTGTACAATTGCAAAGCAACAGATGAAGCATCAATAGAGACATCGACAACACCGTCAACCAATGCGGTTTTCAAAGCGTTGTTATCCTTCTTGGTCACCTTCTTGTATCCAGTAATGGTGGCGTACTTCTTTGATGTGTCAACAGTGCAGCTTCCGTCAGTGGCAGTGTATGGGTAATCCTTTTCTTGGACAATTCCGTTGGCCTTGATGTAATCGTAGACAACCGATCCAGTTCCTCCATTGCATCCATTGTTATCAGAGCATCTGACGATTTGTTCTTCAGCAAGATCAAGAGTGCTAGCACTTCCCTTAATCATCAAAAGTCTTCCTTCAAGAGAAGCGAGTGAACCGAATGAATAGCATGAACCGCATTGAGCCTGATCTCTGACTGGGGTGACTTTTCCTGAGGTTCTCAAATCAAGAGAAGTTGGGAATCCTTTCTTTGCTCCGGTCTCTTCAATACCAACAGACTCGACGTACTTCTTAACCAACAACTTCTGGTATTCAGCATTCGACATAGCAGCGAATGGTCCTTCAACTGAAAGTTCGAAAGTGTTGTGTTCGTTGAACGCACGGACGAAACGGGCATTCATGTTGAAGATTGCACGTCTTCTAAGAGCCTCGACTGGGCTGTATGACTTTTGGTACTTGGCGGTCCAAGCATGAAGTCCATAGCGGACA